AGGCTTATAATGTTTAGCTTGCTCAACGTCAGAGAGTAAATAAACGGTGGACCAGGGACTCTAATGTAGTTCTGACTCCAGAATTTAGGCTCCTAACCACTACCAAGGCTGCTTCAAGTATTGAATGGGTAGATTTCTTCATTCAAAGAATCTGTAATCTACCCTGGCTGGTGTGGCTCAGTGGATTGAGCACCAGCCTGCAAACCAAAAGGTCGCTGGTTCGATTCCCAGTCAGGGCACATGCCTGGTTGCTGGCCAGGTCCCCAGTAGGGGGTGTGCGAGAGGCAACCACACATTGATATTTCTCTCCCTCTCTTTCTGCCTCCCTTCCCCTCTGTCTAAAAATAAATAAATAAAGTCTTTAAAAAAATCTATAATCCATTGGGGAGAGGGTGGGAATAAGAGGAAAATGCTAAATTAATACCTATACAATTATTAAAGAACGATAATGGCTTCTGAATTTTTCAGTTTATGTTTGGAATTATTTAATTTCATTATGTTATATCTCAGCATGAATTCTTCTTATTTATCTTGCTAAGGATTTCTGTCTTTGATCAACACAGGACACTTTTCAGTCCTTAAGTATTGTCTTACCTCTATTCAAAGACTATGGCCCCTTACATGTTACCCTTCCTATTCCTTAACCTTTTCTTTCTTTAGCCTTTTCTCTTTATTCTTTGTGCTGTGTCATGTGCTGTTTCCTCATATTCAGAAGTTTTCTCTTCAATGGTATTTAACTTAATATTTAACCATCCAGTTAATTTATTACTTTTTCCCTTGTTATATTTTTTTAAAACAACCACGTTGAGGAAGAATTTACATACAAAAAGTGATAGCATTCTAAGTGGTCTAATCAGTTGTGGCAAATGGGTCCCAGTCCCCTCCAGCCTGTCTGTAGTCTGTCATCTAGCTGTGACTGGACCCAGTCCCCAGTGTCTGCTTTCTGTCCTAATACGTCAGTTTTTCTTTCATATTCAAGAATTCCTTATACAAGGAATCAAGCCATTTTTCTTTTATCATAATTTTAGGTTTATTCATGATGTTGCATATATCAGTAGTTTGGGGTTTTTTTTTCAGTGCTGCATAGTATCCATGATATGGAAATCCCACGATTTGTATCCATTGACATTGATGGACATTTGGGTTGTTTCCAGTTTTGTGTTGTTATGCATGAAGTGCCATGAACGTTTGTGAACACCAGTGTTTGTGGACATGTGTTTTCATTTCTCTTAGGTAAATATTTCTAGGAATGGAATTGCTGGGTCATAGGATAGAGGCACACTTACTGTTGAAGACACTGCCCAGCTGTTTTCCAAGATGGCTGTACCGTTTGCATACTTACAAGCAATGCAGAACTTCCATTGCTCCACATTGTTGCCAACATTTCGTATTGTCTGATGTTTTAGCAGTGATCATTATAGTCGGGTGTTGTGGTAGGCAAAATGGTGACACCATCTCCCCAGAATTCCCACATCCTATGGGAATCCCTTGAACCTGTAAATATATTACCTTGCATGGCAAAAGGTACTTGACAGATGTGACTAAAGTTAAGAACCTACCTTAACCTGCAGAGATTATTCTGGATTATCCAGCTAGATCTACATAAATCTTTAAAAGTGGAAAACCTTTCCTGGCTGTGGTCCCAGAAAGATGCGATGAGAGAAGGGGGATTAGCCAGAAGACAGTGTCAGAAGGACTTGGCCCACTGCTGCTGGCTTTGAAGATGGAGGAAAGAGGCCATGAGTGAAGGAATGTGGATGGACGGCCTCTAGAGGCTGGAAAAGTGAAGGAGGCATCCCCTCTATGGCCTCTAGGCCTCCTGACCACTCAATTTTAACCCGCTGAGATCCGTTTCAGACTTCCAGCTTACAGCAGTGTAAGGTAATGCATTTGTGTTGTTTTAAGTCATCAAGATTGCAGTAATTTGTTACTGCAGAAATAGAAAACCAAAACAGGTGTATAGTATATCTCATTATCTAATGCGTTGCCATTTCCCTGATGACTAGTGAAATTATCATTCGCTTATTGGCCGGCCACATACTCGTTTTGTGAAGTCTTTGTACAAATCTTTGCTCACTTTTAATTAGGCTGTGTAGGTTTTTAGTATTGACTTACAGTAGTTCTTTTAATATCATATTGTTAATAAACAATTCCTTTGTCAGGTTATTTATGGCAAATACCTTCTCTCAGTCCATGACTCGTCTTTTCATTTTTTAAATGGTGTCTTTCAGAGACAGTCTAGATTTTGGTGACATCAAGTCGTTTATTTATTTTTTTATATGAAGGTTAGTTCTTTGTGTATCATGTCTGAGAAATATTTCCTCAAATATTTTTTCTTATGCTTTCTTTTAGGAGTTTTATAGTTCTAGATCTAATGTCTGTATCTGTGATCCTCATAAGATAATTTTGTATATTGTGTAAAGAAAGAATTAAGGCCCATTTGTTTTCTCCATGCATACTCAGTTTTCTAGCACCTTTTGTTAAACATCTGTATTTTTTCTACTGAATCTGGCACTTTTATCCAAAATTAATAGAACCAATGTTCCTTATGACCCCATGATGAGAGGCACTTCTTATTTCCACTAAGTACAGCTCAAAGTCCTGGTTATTACATACATAACTAACCAACAGTTGTTAAAATGTTGAAAGGTGAAGATAAGGCAGACTCACCAGGGACCTAAGGAATGGCACAGTAGTAAGTTTCCGAGTTTTTGTTTTGCCTAATTAACTCCATGCTGGGAGTTGGAGAAACTAACAACTCAGAACAGCAAATAGAAGCAGACCAAAAAATGCCCCAAGAAAAGCTTTCTCTCGCCCAAGGAACAAGAGAGGGACAAGCTAAGAAGACAAACTGTTTCACCCATCGCGCCCCTAAGTCCATGCCAACACTACGGAAAAACTGCGGTAGCGCTCTCACCCCTCTCAGCAAAAGCTGGTACAGAGCCCACATTTCCACCCTCACCAGCTCTAACAAGGCGCCTTCTTCCCCAACAGAGCTTTCTCGAAACCTTTTGATGGTAAAAGACCTTTTACACCCCGGTGTCGGTGGTGGCCACATGGAGAGCAACAGAGACGTGACTGTACCACTATTTTGGAGCTGTTTTTCAGAGTTTCCTTTTCTATTATGTACAATACCATTATGATAATTCTAGAAGTAATCTCATTGTGCACACATGCTAGAATATTCTAAGGCATATAATGAGTACAGCTGCAAAGATTTAAAGTGTATGCCTGTTCAACTTTACAAAATAATGCAAGACGTCCCAATGTACACTCAAACCTGAAGTGTTTACTAAACAATTTCCATGGGTCCACGTTTTCACCAGCACTTGGTATTGTCAGACTTCTTTATTTTTCACCCTAGTCAGTGTAAGATAGTATTTTTTTATAATCTCGATTGGCATCTTCCTGGTTACTATTGAGGTAGAGCATCTTTTCATGCTGTTTTATTTCTTGTTATTTCTCTTTCCTCTTTTTGTCCCTTGTTCATTTCCCCATTTGGCTTATGGCCTTCTCCTTTTTCATTCATTGGAGATCTTTTTTTAAAAAAATGTATTCAATTTATTTCAACTAAAAAAACATCTACCCATGTCTCTTACCCCTATGTTATGCACTGACAGCTTCTCTGTGGCAGTCCTAGTTTAGGTTTATCTCTTTGTGGCTCTAATTTTCAGCTCTTTCTTTCTGGCTCTGGGCATTTCCTCTAGATTGTTTTTTGTGTTAAACTCAGGTATGCATTTTTTTTTTCAACTGCAAACATTTATTCAGTACCAGCTATGCGATGGATGCCGTTTGAAGCACGTAGAAGTGAACAAACTCTGATCTCAGGGAGTGTACTCTGCAAGAATGCTTGTTTTCTGATCTATGCAGTTTATTGGATATTGTGATTGGGCAACTTTAGGTATTGTAGGGGCTTTAAGGTAATTTAGCTGTGAGTGATAATTTGTTAAAATTTTTATCAGTTTTCAGAATAAATATTTGGGGAAAAAAGCATAAAATAGGAAAGGCCAGTTAGGAAAGAATTGCAGTACTTTAAGTAAGATATGGTTAGACTAGCAGGTAGAAGTGGGAATGAAGAAAAGCTGGATTGCAGAAATATTCTGAAGGAAGAAATAATGTCATTGTGTTTAATAAGAGGGCATGATACAGAGAAACATGTCGAAGTCAGCTCCAAATAGTCGTCCCTGGAAGACTGAAAGAATGACCACACGGCTGACAGAAATAGTGCTGCTGGTGGGAATGGAGGAGCAGATAAAAATACTACCAGTGGGTATGGCCTGTGTCTCCATATTTAATATTCCATGTAGTGCATTGCAGTAACTTACTGCATTTGAAAAAGGCATGTACAACTGTGTAGACATGGCCCGCGGTGACTGAAAATATACAAATAGAACAGAAGAAGCGACAGGATTACAGGTGAGGAGAGGGAGTGGAGGTGCCTGCTTTGTATCCCCAGAGCCTGGTTTGCTGTTCGGCACAAGGCTGGCCCTCAATATTTACTGAAAAAAGGGAAGTGAGCCATGTGCATAGATGGGACAGCTGAGATCATGGGATCAGATGTGAAAGCAGGTATTTACTTGCTGAGGTTCAAGGACATCCTTTCTTCTCCATGGTCTGCACTGCCCACAGTAACCTGCCTCAAAGGAAATAATTCCAAACGTACCTTGATTTAGGAATAATTACTGGAGGGGGTGGAGTTTCACGAGGGGGTGTGTGTGCAGAAAAGGTGCGTTCTAGATCTAGAATACCGAAGGGGAAGGTAAAGATTTGACGCTGAGTCAAAGTCGCTACTAATTTTGCACAAGCGTCATATTATCTGCACAAGTTGGAGAGTCACAGTTCGGCGACCAGGCCGCCACTCTTTCATCACTGACGCCCGAGTCGCCGCAAAGCCCTCCAGGCCCGGTTCCAGGGCGCGTCCGACTAAGTCCCCGGGCCCAGCACCTCTGCTGAGCCTGCGCGTGGCGGCGCGGCAGGGCGGGCGCATGCGCCTTGCAGCGGAGCCGGCAGAGGCGGCTCTAGGCGCTGTGGCGGCTGCTGTGTTTTGGGGCCTGGGAGCCGTGGGAGGAGCCGGCGGTCTCACCGTGGTAACCGCAGCGCCGCCGCGGCCCCGCCTTGCAGGCCTCAGGACTGTCACCGTCTTTGGGAGCCGGGGGATTTTGGCCATCTTTTCCGGATACAGCCCCGCCGGTCGTCGTCGCTGCCGCCATGCAAGGGGAGGACGCTCGATACCTCAAAAGGTGACGACTCCCCGGGGCGCGGCCCCACCCTCCTGGCCTGGGGTCCTGAAGATACTCTTGGCGGTTCTTGGGCTTGGCCTGGAGGTGTCACTGGACAATGAAGAGGGGTGGACACGGGAAGAAGTCACGGAAAGGGAAGGGCAAGGTGCTCTGGGTAAAGAGGCCCTGCGGCCGCCCACCTGGCTCGGCGGGGCGCTGACAGCGCTGGACGTGGCTCCTGGCTGCATCACCTTGTTGGGTGGAGAGGGGTGGAGGGCCGGGGAACCCCCTACCCCCACCGCCTCCCCATTCCGATTCTGTATTTCCGTAATAGATGAATCCCGCGGGGCCCTGGAAATGAAGCCTTCTGGAGCCTCTGCTCATGTCTCCCGTTTGGGGATCTCTGCCCTGGGGTTCTGAAGTGATGACGGGGAAAGAAGTGATGGCTTTTAATGGGCAGAGGCTGCGCGGTGATGGATAGTGCTTTCCAGCCTGCTTCTGCTTGCTTCATCAGTCTCATCCTTTTGACTGCCATGTGTACAGTATCATTTTTGTAGGGTTTTAATTATGAGGTTTGTTTAGGCCATAATTGTCTTAGTTTAAAAATATTTGTCGTGTCAGATACTCTTTAAAGAAAACTGTACTTCTGTCGGGATTATTTGTTTGACTCCTGTCAAAAATAAGATCATCCCTGATGGAAAGGATATCTCTCAGTGGGCCGAGAGTTTGCAGTCATCCAATAGGGAAAAACCTTCATTGGACGCTCCATTTTTTAAAGGCCCTATTCCGATTGGGTAAATAAATACCCTAAGGAAGTCACGTGTGTTCCTTTGAACAGAGTTTCCTTGTCTAAAAACGGGACAAATAATACGAGAGATTCGAGGACCAAATGTGAAAATGCTTTTGAGAGAAAAAACATGCGTGTAAGGTGGTAGTAGTATTATAAGTCATAAAATACTTTTCCTGAATATATTTTCCTTGGCTTGGCAAGGCCCTGATCATCACAGAAGGATCTTCTGATCTTTAATAGACTCTTAAAAGGGATTCAGACAATTGTATAGTCAGCCAATCAGTCAGCCAACTGCACTACATTTGCAGGACTGGGGCATCTGTTTTGCCTCCCCTTCTCATTTTGTATTAATGTATCTGAAACTGCCGAATGACCAGACTTTATCAGTAAAATTTTGAAAAAGGAATATGTAATCCTAACAGGTATATAGTCAGTATTTATTCACTGAATTTTACTCACATTAATCTTTTAAGTCTTTTTGATTGAAAATTTTGTCACGGAAGAAAATAAATTCTTTTTTCAACTTTAAATACGAGATTTTTCTAGAGCAAACGTACTAATTACACGTTTAAATCTATTGAGGAACCACTGAACTGCTTTCCCCATTGGCTGCACCATTTTACATTCCCACCAGGAATGTAGGAAGATTCCAGGTTCTTCACATCCATGCCAACATTTGTTATTTACTTACTTTTAAAAAAAATTAGGGCTATTCTAATGGGTGTGAAGTGATCTCTTACCGTTTTAATTTACATTTCCCTAGTTACTAGTGACATTGAGCATCTTTTCATATGCTTCTTGGCATTTGCTTTCTTTGGAGAAAAGGGATCTTTATATTTTCTGGATATTGGACCCCTATCAGATCAATGATTTGCAAACATTTTGTTTAATTCTGTGGATTGTTTTTTCACTGTCTTCATAGTTTCCTTTCATGTGCAAAAGTTTATATTTTCTTTAGTTTTTGCTTTTTAAAAAAGGTTTAAATGACCATTGATTTTTAAAATTCCCATCCTTCTCTCCCCTTTGTCAACTGTCAGCTTATTCTCTATGTTGTGGCTCTGTTTCTGTTTTGTTTTGTTTACTCATTTGTTTTCTATTTTTTTTAGATTTTTGTCGCTGATTAATATTCCTTCATATGTACGCATCACATCTTTATCTATTCATCTATTGGTGCCCCCCCCCCCCCCCGCCGGTTGCTTCCACCTCTTGACCATTGTACGCAGTGCTGCTGTGGCTGTGACCTTAGGGGTGTACATGTCTAGCGTTTTTGTTTCGTTCGGATAAATATCCAGAAGTGGAATTGCTGGATCATATGACAGTTCTATTTGTAAGGTTTTGAGGACTCACCATCCTGTTTCCCATAGTAGCTGCTCTAATTTACAGCCTCACCAACAGTCTATGAGGGTTCCCTTTACTCCACATCCTTGTCAGCACTTGGTATTTGTTGATAGCTGTTCTGACAGGTGTGAGATATCTCATTGTGGTTTTGATTTGCTTTTCCCTGATGAGTAGTGATGTTGAGCATCTTTTCATGTGTCTGTTGGCCATCTGTGTGTCCTCTTTGGAGAAATGTCTATTCTAGTTCTCTGCCCATTTTTTAAATTGGATTTTGTGTGTGAGTGAGTGTGTGTGTGTGTTCAGTTGTATGAGTTCCTTATATATTTTGGATATTAACCCCTTGTTGAATGTATCATTTGCAAGTATCTTTTCCCATTTAGTAGGTTGTCTTTTCATTTTGTTGATAGATTCCTTTACTGTACAAAACTTGTTAGTTTCATGTAGTTCCATTTGTTTATTTTTTATTGCCCTTGCCCAAGGAGACATGCCCAAAAAGTTACGCTAACAGTGATGTCAAAGAATTTATTGCCCATGTTTTCTGCTAGGAGTTTTATGGTATCAGGTCTTACATTTAAGTCTTTAACCCATTCTGAATTTACTTTTGTATAAGGCATGAGAAAGTGGTCCGATTCCATTTTTTTGCATGTATCTGTCCAGTTTTTCCAATACCACTTATTAAAGAGACAGTCTTTACCCCAGTGTATATTCTTGCCTCCTTTGTCATAGATTAATTGACCATGTAAGCAAGGATTTTCTATTCTTTGGGCTCTAGTCTATTGATCTATATGCCTGTTTTTGTGCCAGTACCACACTATTTTAATTATTGTAACTTTGTACTACTAACTTTGTAGTATAGTTTGATATCAGGGATCATAATAACACCCACTTTGTTGTTTCTCAAGATTTCATTGACTATTTGGGCTTTTTGTGGTTCCATATAAATTTTAGAATCATTTGTTCTGATTCCAATAAGGGTTCCATTGTTATTTTAATAAGGAATGCATTGAATCTATATATATTGCTTTAGATAGTAAGGACATTTTAACAATAATAATCCTTCTAATAAATGAGCAAGTTATAACCTTTCATTTGTTTGTATCTCTTCAGTTCTTTCCTCCAGTATCTTATAGTTTTCAGAGTATAGGTCTTTCATCTCTTTGGTTATATTTATCTGTAGGTATTTTTAGCTTTTTGATGCAATTGTGAATGTGATTGTTTTCTTAATTTCTCCTTCTGATCATTCATTATTGGTATATAGAAATGCAATAGATTTCTGAATATTGACTGTGTACCCTGTAATTTTACTGAATTCATTTATTCTAATAGGTTTTTTGGAGGGCAGGGTGGTCTTTGGAGTGTTAGTTGCTTTTGATTTCATTATTTAAGAAACCATTACCAAATCCGAGGTGATGAAGTTTTGCCCCTATGTTTGCTTCAAGAGTTTTTTAGGTTTAAATTCTTAAATTTCTGTCTTTGATTCATTTTGAGTTAATTATCTCTTGTGCAGTAAGGGTCCAGTTTCATTCTACATGTCCAATGTCTCAGCTCATTTGTTAAAGAGATTGTTCTTTCCCCCAATGAAAGGCGTTGCCACCCTTATTGGAATCTATTGGCCAAATATGTAGGAGTTTATTCTTGGGCTCAGTTCAATTCCATTAATCTGTGGGTCTATCTTTCTGCTAGTACTGCACTGTTTTGATTACTGTAGCTTTGTAGTATGTCTTGAAATCAGGAAATGTCAGTCTTCTAACTTTGTGTTTTTTTTTTTCAAGATTGTTTTGGCTACTCAGGGTCCCTTGTGCCTCCACATGAATTTTATGATCTCTTTTCTATTTCCGCAAAAAAAAAAAAAAAAAAAAAAAAAGGCTTTGGGGATTTGAAAGAGGTTATACTGAATCTGTAGATCACATTGAGGAATGTTGCCACCTTAACTGTAAATCTGACTTAAATGCATATATTAATCCACCCACAGGTTTTTGGAACTAGAATCTATATAAAACCATGGACATTTTATAACTTTTTAATCTACCTATGCTTGTTTTTATTTTACATTATAGGAAAGTTAAAGGAGGAAATATTGATGTACATCCATCAGAAAAAGCACTCATTGTTCAATATGAGGTTGAAGCTACCATTCTTGGAGAAATGGGGGATCCCATGTTGGGAGAACGAAAAGAATGCCAAAAAATGTAAGTTTTCTTTATTTGTGTATACTTTGAAAGTAGTAAATATTATACAGACTTTATAGAAATCTGATATTATTTAAATCTGCATATATGATAAATGTTTATGGTGTTATTCTAGACATACTTCATTTTAGTAAAGCAGAGACAGCATTCAACTATAAATACAGATATGTTTATTTCCGAGTTACTACCTACTGTGGCTGGAATAAATGGATTTAAATATCAGCAAGGGAAAACCTGAGGACTTCCAATTTTGGGATGCTCAGGAGCTGGAGAGGAGTCACATTGTGGGACCAAAGGTGCATGTGGCAGCTTGGTAGTTCAGGAGGTTTTCTCAATGGCAGCAGCTGGGGGATACGTGTGTAGATTGAGATAGGTGTGAAGTGAAACTGTCGTTACCCTTGGGCAGTCAGTGCCGGGTGAAGAAGACTTCTTGACTGGGAAGAGGAATGGATGATTGCTAATATACATGCTGGTAGAAAGTAGGTCTAAAAAGAAATAGAAACATCTACTTTGTTAAATCAAGCTACCACTGCATACCTACTAGAATGGGTAAAATCCAAAACACTGACAGAATCAAATGCTGGTGAGGATATAGAGTAATAGGACTTCATCTATTGCTAGTGGAAGTATAAAGTGGTGTAGCCACTTTGGAAGACAGTTTGGCAACTTCTTCCAAAGCTAAACGTAAACTTACCATACAGTCTAGCAATTGTGCTCATAGATATTAACCCAAATGAGTTGGAAGCTATGTCCACACAAAAACCTGTACATGAATGTTTATAACACCTTTATTTATAATTGTCAGCAATTGGAAGCAACCAACATGTCCTTCCATTGGCAAACAGGTAAGCAGGCAGTGGTGCATCCATGTAATAAAGTATTATTCAGCACTTAAATCAACTATCAGGCTATGAAAAGACATGATGGTGGGGGTGGGGTGGATCTAAATACATACTACTAAGTGAGAGAAGCCAGACTTGGGAATGCTGTCTTCTGTGTGATTCCTGTATAACGGTAGGACATTTGGCTGTGTATGTTCTAGGAGAGGAAAACTAAAGTAAAAAGAATAAAGGTTGTCAGAGGATAAAGGGGTGGGGGAGGAGAGAATAGATGGAGCACAGAGCATTGTTTAGGGCAGTAAAAGAATTCTGTATAATACTGTAATGGTGGATACATGACATTATGCATTTGTCAAAACCCATAGAACTGTACAAGAGAAGTAAATTCTAATGTAAACTGTGGACTTAAATTTATAATAATGTATCAGTATCAGTTCATCAATTGTAACAGATTCTACACTAATGCAAGATGGTAATACAGGGGAAAAAATGTATTGGGGGTAGTGGGCATATATATGAGAACTCTGTACTTTATGCACAATTTTTCTGTAAACCTAAAACTGCTGTAAAAAAGACTAGTAAGAAATTTTAACAATATATGTATGTTAATAGCATTTCTATTTTGCCTCTTCTTAATCAGATTTATAGAAACTGTCAGGATTTCCAAGTTCCTTGCTGAAATTAAACATGAGAGGTCTTGTGAAAGTTTTCCTCTGAAAGGATTCTTCTTTCTTATCTCTGTCTTTTGATATGCAGTAAAATTATTAAAAATATAATTGAGAATTTAAAAGACTTAAAAGGTATGAATATAAACATCCAAAAAAAAAAAGATAAAGGGACAGAGTATTGCTAGAGTTTGTTGTTGCAAACATTAGTAGCCGCTGTAGCATATTTGAACACAAAAGGAAGTTATTAAAGGCTATTAGGTACAATCCTAAGAGGACCAGAATTGGGGATGACTGTATAGCTGTGAATAATCTCCAGATCACTCCACTGGGTTTATTGCAGGAGAGATCGCTTACATCTGAATAGTGATTTCAGATGCTTAGTATGGGACCTTTTTCTGAGGTCTCTGTCCCCATGCCTGTAATACCTTGTGTCTCTCCAAATATTGGACACTACCAAGAAATAGTTCTATGCAGTAGCTGCTTTCCTATATTTCTCTTTTTGAATCTAAGCCTTGCATGAGCATATCTGCTTGGGTCTTCACCCTGAACCTAATTTTGTTTTCATAGCCCTCCCTGGTGCCATAAATTCATGAAAATGGGCAATTTTCTCCAGACTCTGAACAACCTTTTTAAATTTAGCTTCCAATGAATCTCCTGGACTAAATTAAAAAGAGGAAGAAGCTGGTTTATTATTTTTTTAATGTACTCACAAAATGAAATGTTCCTCAAAATTCTTCATATAGGTCTTAAAATGTATCCTGCTTTTATTCTTCTTCTTTCTACATAATTTTCATGAGAACAGCTGAATCCTGAAATAATCAATATTACATCTTGTCCCTCACTGAAAATCATAAATAATTGTGGCTATAGTCAAGAAGGTGATCATTTTTGGCAATATGGATTCTCACATCCAATGACTAAGGACTTTCTATGTAGTACATCAGAAAGACTTTCAGAATAAGATCTTTGAATGTGCTATTCTGCATAGAAGCATCAGATGTAGATTTTGTTACTTTTGTTACCTTGTTTGTCCAGCTCAAAGAAAGTCATTGCTTTGCATTGTTCTAAGCCTAATTATATCTAACCCTTTATTATATTTTACTAAAAGTGTATGTAAGGTACATCTAAATGCTTTGTAAACTATTGTTTGACGAAGTCTTGTTTAAGTTATCACTTACTTTCATGATACCTGAGTTGGAAAATTCGGATTGCTTGCAGCATTCGTCTTAAGAGCCTCAATGCCAACACAGACATAACGTCCTTGGCACGGAAGGTGGTGGAAGAATGCAAGCTCATTCACCCCTCAAAGCTTAACGAAGTGGAGCAGCTGTTGTACTACCTGCAGAACCGCCGTGATTCCTCATCAGGGAAAGGTGAGGGAGGCTTCTGGCTTGTCAGTGCAGAACCAGACTTGTCTGACTGTATCGTTTATGCTTTCGATAAATGGTGGGTTTGTTTTTGTTTTTGTTTATTGTTTTGCCAGTGTTGTGAATGAGTAAATGAAAGGATAGACAAACATACTAGTTTTCTACATGTTGAACTTTATATTGGATGGTTCCATACAACATGGTATTTCTTTTTCATACTTCTTTGTGTGCACACACATATGCTGAAATAAGGAATAAAAAAGCAAGTATCTGCCACATACATTCTAAAATAATAAAAGGAGAGAATTTTGGGCAGAAAACCCATTTTCTCTACTCCAACTAGATTTATGTTTTCTAAACTTATTATTGACATTTAGTTTACTATTTTAATGGACAACTTAACTTAAGTATTTGAATGTTATAAAAATGTCATATGCTTTAGACTATTGTAAAGATATGTTTTATGAATCCTTAAGAAAATACTACCCTTTCATTCCTTAACATCTCTATTGCCAACAGTCTTCTATCTTTAATTCCCTCACAAAAGAGCTAAGCCATTAAAATATTAGAGCTAAGCGATTGATTACTTATACAAGACATTTTAAAATAATCTAAACCAAAAATGAAATAAAATAGAAACACAGACATTTTAATGCAGTATCATCTCAGACTATTGAATGGTTAGTTATTCCATTTTACAGCACTGTTTATGTATCTTTCTTTCACAATGGGTGAGTTCCAAACTATGGTGCCCTCGAAATAACTTATAAAGGCTTCAGTTTTGATTGTACTAAGTCAAAAAAAATGAAATAGGAAATTTGTATAAACTTTTTTCAAGTTTGTTTTCTCTCTTCATTCATAGCAAACAAAATGTCTTGCACCTGATATATATTTTCATTAATTAAATATAGTGACTAACTCACAGTATATGATCAGCTTAACAATAACCCACAGCCTTTGGACCAACTATCACAGTATATGATCAGTAGGTATTTCTTGAGTGAACTGGATGGCTGTAAACTTATTTAAAAGCAAAATTAAGCATTTTGAACTTAATTGCTTCCAGCTACATAGCTGATACTCAGTGTATACTTGTTAATTATTAATAATAAGTGCTATAAGGAAAATAGCAAGATTTTTTTTAAATATTCTTGCTAAAATGTCTATAAATGATAAGAGATAACATCTTCAATAGTTTAAATAAGTACAAAGTGAGCAAAATAAATGCTGTACTTTTTAAAGGTGTGTATGTAATTATTGTGGATGGTACCAAAAAAATAGTTAAAATTGATCTTTACTAATGCCAAATTAATATAGTTTCAATGGCACTTATAATAAAATGTCTTTAAACTAAAGAACAGCCTTTCACTGAGTTTTCAGGGTAAATCAGTCTTCTCGTGTATATGGATAAATTAGTTCAAATCAATATATTTCTCTCTATAGATATTAATATTTGAATACATGAAATTCTGTACTATATACTTATTTTTTAAAACTATTTTAACGTTTTTTACTTGGTATTAACTATTTCAAAGCCAGGAATATTGTCCTAAATGTGATTGAAATGAAAAAATAATATGTATTTGATTATAGATTCTTTACCTTAAGTGATTTTTTTCTATACTTAATTAAAAACACTGTCAAAGTGAATTATCTATTTGACGCAAAACCTAGCTCTTGAGAAAACATAATCTTATATAGAATGGCCAACATTCTCTGAAAATAATCAAGGGTAATTTCTGTTATATGTAAAACATTTGCTAATTACATGATCAAAATTTGTTATTACTCAAACTTATTTTAATGTACATGCATTGCATAGGTTTACCCAGATCAGTGAAGTATTTTTGATAATTTTTTTGTTAGAAAATGAAGTTCTGCCATGAATCAAATAATCAAGTATAGTAAATTGCTCAAAGTTTTGTTCCACACCTTTGGTTATCTCTTTATTTACCTTATTTGGAAGCAAATGAGTATTAACACAGATATTAAATATTTGCTTTTTAATTTATGATCCCAATTTTGCTTATTAAAAGAATCAGTAATTATTCTTTATTTTAACTTTTATCTTTACCCAAGTCGTTTCTTTTTCTTTGTTAATTTTATGTTAGTTTTAATATTATTCAATTCATTTTTTCTTTGCTTTATTGATTTTCCTATTCCTACCTTAAATGTGAATTAGAAGGAGAAAGAGAGAAAACTTGACTAGTTTACTTCTTGTTAGTAAGTCTGGCTATTTACCCAAAAAGACAGCCAAAGAAGAAGTTAAAATTGCTGCCTGGTGTAACTTGGGGAACATTTGTTGATTTTATTTATTTATACTCTGCTTGGTATATTCTCAGTAGAACAGATGGATTATAGATGACCATTTTTTATACATTAAGAAAAGATTATTTCAAGGGGAAGGTGGTGGGGGGAAGGCAGAGACAAACGTATTTGAAAAAATAAAGAAAATAAATAAAAAAAGATTATTTCATAAACTGCTCAGTTTTAAGATCCTCAGTTTAGCTAGAGTTAATCAGTTGCTGAAAATCAAAATTACTCATAAATGCTAAAATCCTGCTTCTTCTCATTAAAACAATTTTTTAACAGAAAAAAAAGAAAAATCAAGCAAGCCTAAAGATCCACCACCTTTTGAAGGAATGGAGGTAAGACTGTATTCTTCTAATCTACTAGAAAACTGATTGTAAAGTGTGCATTTTACCATCAACAGTTCGTACAATTGCATTAAACAGATGTGTAATTTTAAAAAGTAATTGAACTTAGAATTATCTGGAAAAGGTAGAAAGTCAGTATTTAATTGACAAGGCAAAAAATATTGGGTATGTGTTTTAGACAATTCATTTTGATAGAAAAATAAGTTATGAAGTGTTTTAAATATTCTTATTGCAGTATTGTTTTGAAATATTGCATAATCTATTGTAGCAATACAAATTACTTTGCATTACATTTAAACTAATTTATAATTGATAGACCAATTTTAGAGTTTGTATACATCCCGTATGGTTTATAATTAATTTTGTATCGGAGTCTTAGCACCCAGAGGTCTAATTTCCTCCTCTACAAAAGGATGGCTACTATGAGTCCTTTGAAAACTTGTCTATTATTTTAAAAGGAAATATATTGATCACAAAGTATCATTCCTTTGACAGTGGCTCTGTTAAGCATTATTGTCCTTTTGGAGTACTTTCTTCCTCTTCCTTTGTTTCAGATTGATGAAGTCGCTAACATTAATGACATGGATGAATACATTGAGTTGTTATATGAAGATATTCCTGACAAGGTTCGGGGTTCTGCTTTGATCCTGCAACTTGCTCGAAATCCTGATAACCTGGAAGAACTACTATTAAATGGTAACTTAGAAATATTAAAATTAGAAAATTTTTGTGAAATGTGATTATTAAAATTTACTGTATTAGAGGAGTAAGCTAAAATTACATATACTAAGCTTAAGAATGCACTAATTTTCCAACTCTTTATTACCTTTCTACTTTTTCAAATTTTTCACATAAGAGCATAGTATTTAAATATTCTCTGGAGAATTCACAAATCATTTAATTTAAATAAAGGAGATCAAGCATTAATGGTACTGTATCTTCTACTTTGGAAAACTTTATTGTTTCAATTAAGTTGTAATATGAAGCTTTTGACATTTGTCATATTGTAGCCTGAAGGAGTCTCTTTAGTGTTCCTCAATAGGGAAGGTCTACTATCAACAAATTCTCTTATTCTTTGTTTACTCAGGAATGACTTAATTTTTCCCTGGTGTTTGAAGGATAGTTTTGCTGGATAGAGAATTGTATGTTGATTATCTTTTTCTTTAAGTACTTTAAGTGTCATCCCATTGTCTCCATGTCTCTCTCGACGCTTCCTGATGTGAAATTCTCTGTTAATCTTGTTGAGGATCCTGTATACATCTTGAGTTGCTTTTCTCTTGCTGCTTTCAACATTTTCTTTGCTTTTGGCTTTTGCCAGTTTGACTATGATATGATTAGGTGTTGATATCTTTGAATTTATCTTGGAGTTTGTGGAACTTCTTAGATGTGCAGGTTAATGTTTCTCAGAAAACTTGGGAAGTTTTTAGCCATTGTTTGTTAAAGATAAATTTTGCTTTTTTTTTTCCTTCTCTTGGAACTCCTATTTTGTTTATTTTCTTATTTTACTATAAGAAAAAGTGTCATAAGTACTAATAGGTACTTCTAGGTACCAAGGCTGTACAAATGTGCAGGGATATGCACATGCCAGAGAAGACCAGAGAAAGACCTAATATCTTTGACCAACCTTGAGGCAACATGCAAGCAGGAAGTGAAGATGAGGCTGTGACTACCTGCCTGAGCACTGAAGTCGTGCCCCAGCACACACACACAGGGTCCCTTAGCAAAGGCTGGGACTCGTAGTGCCAGGCATTTAAAGAAATTGCTATCCAAATTGCTAAGTAAATTGTCTAAAAAACATACCCAATATCTTTTGCTTTTATCAGTTAAATACTGATTTTTCTACCTTTTTCCGGTACTTTTAATTACTTTTTAAAGCTATATTGCTATATTATTTTTCATCCTTTTTTCTTTCTCTTCCTAAGACTAGATAAGACAGGAAATATGTTGGAGCATTTCAAAGACCCTGTGAATATCTTTTTCCAGTTATTTCTCTTAAAAGATTTTGGTCAGACTCTTATTAACTCCAGCAGGCTGCTGCACATAACTGCCACATCTCCGTGAGTAGTTTTCAATGAACGCCCCGGTATAAGGCTGCACAGACACCCTCTGAGTGAGGTCAGGTAAAGCAAACCCTGCGGACGGAGATGTCCGCAAGCGTCCAGACAGGCCAGGGCGTGCCCGCTCTCTGGAGCAGGGATTCGCCAAACTGTTCTCCTTCTCCGGTTGCTGCTAGGCTGCCGTAGTTCACGGATACCATAGTTGTGATTTTCTTGTATGTTTTGTACATTTTTATATATCATTTTGAGATCACCTTGTTATATTCTCTAAAAAATCGTAATGGAATTTTAATTATGATTGCATTCAACTTGGAAATTAATTTTGTATTTTCACCTTCTGTAAACTCTAGTTTTCTTTTGGCTATTTCTTGAGTAACCCACATAGAATTCCTGCAACTGTATTTTTATTGAGATATTTCTCTATTCTATACTAAAGGAGAAAGTGAAATAAAATTGGAAAAGTAGGCCGCTAACCCTTTGTGTAAATTCGTGATACAGGACATCACGTCCCAAAGTATCGCTTTGTGTAAATTCGTGATACAGGACATCACGTCCCAAAGTATCGCTTTGTGTAAATTCGTGATACAGGACATCACTTCCCAAAGTATCGCTTTGTGTAAATTCGTGATACAGGACATCACTTCCCAAAGTATTCCATGAAACCTTGTTTCCTCCGGGGTGGGGGAGGGGGGCACCAGATGCTTTGTCAGGTGGGGCTTTTCAGAGCCTTCGCTCTCATGCCCGTTGCCTGCCTGTTCACTGGGCTCTATAATGGTTTTGGAGTCCAGCATATGTTATATGTGCCCTGTCTGCATTGTGAATATGAATAACATGAAATGCCATTATAGGATTTTTTTTAGTTGGTTTTAAAAAGTTTCTTACCAAGTAGATTAATATCATAGTGAATTTGTATTGTTTCATAATCTGAAGAGCCTGGAAGCTCAAATAAACTGAACACTTGTCATTACAATTATAAATATTGATAATACAGTCCATGAAATATAATAGATCCTTAGTGCCAAAGAAAGTTGAATTATGAATTATATATAACACACAGATGTTTGGCTTAATTTTTTTTATTTTAAGAATTGGTAAGCTGTGTGGCAATACTATTTTGAAAAGTCTCGTTACTTTATGTTTACTTAATATGTGGTAATTCTTGTTAACCAATTCATTAATTTTACCTTTCTCGAGATAAAAATTGAGCAGGGATGTTCATTAATCTACCCTGAAGCTAATTTTGTTAAAGATATTTTATTTATGTCTGTTGGCATCAATTTAACATGATATTAAAATATTAGACATTTTTCAGTGTATAAGTTTTATTTGGTTATTAATTTGCTTTAATGGAGCTAGAGTTAGCCTGCTAAACTGCTCATTATTTTTTTAGAGTTGTTCTAGTTTTTTTACTTATTCACAAACACCTTAAATCAGATGTTAAAAAAGAAAAAAGAAAATTGGTACTGCTGTAGCAAGATTACAAGTGGAAATTCAATTCAAGAAATAAATGGTCTTACTATTTTATTGTCACTCAAAATATACTTATATTACTGTATCTAAATTATATTTTACTTTACTGTTTACAGGAATAGACTTAAAGCTATGTGTTATGAGTCTAAGTAAAAGTTTGATTTCAATTTTAAAAATAGCTTTCTGTGTTGGAAAGAAGCATCCTACTTTTTTGTCCCAGTTCTGCCTTAGCGTTGTTATTAATTAATAAGTAGACATTTAAAACCAATCATCCTTTATTCCAGAAGCAAGGCAAATGATTATTTTTGTACGTCCTCTTTTCCTTTAGAAACTGCCCTTGGTGCGTTAGCAAGAGTCCTGAGAGAAGACTGGAAGCAAAGCGTTGAGTTAGCTACAAACATAATTTACATCTTTTTCTGTTTTTCCAGGTAAGCATTAAACTTAGGAAACAAAAGTACTAGTGTGTCTGTATTTCTCTCTGTGACATTGGTTTAGATTTTAGATCATTGGTTTGCTTAGTCCTCTGTGTGTCGGCTCATGCTCTGCCTCTGAACTCTTATTCTGTTTCCAATTCTCTTCCTCTCTCTTCTGTTTTCCATTCAGTCTCTACTCATCATGCATGTACATGTGTGCACACACGTCTGCACGCACTCACATGCACACAGAGTAGGACAGTGTACTGGTTTACAATTTACAAGTATGGGCTTTGGGCATAGACTGCATTTGAATTTAAGTCCTACTGCTGATTATTTATTAACTGTGATCATGGCTATGTTATTTAACTCCTCTGTGCCTCAGTTTCCTCATCTGCAAGCTATGGATAATAATAGTAGCACCCTTTCCAAGTAGTTTTCAGAATAAAGCCTAATGCAGATTAAGTGCCAGTAAATGTTTCTCTCTCTCTCTCTCTCTCTCGCGCACACACACACACACACGCACACTCTTGAGTGTGCACAAACATCTGTTGTACATCCATATATATTATCTTACACATATATTCTTTAGGAAGTGGTTTATTGAGACATTGTAAAAAGTTTCTAGCTAATTTCTAGAGAATTACCTTCCTCTATTCTAAAAATGTGTCAGCATTAGCAAATAAATATTTACTGAATCAATACTTGGATGAATGAGTTATCTAGGAAACATACACAAAACCTAATTGTTAATACTTTACTAGTTTATTCTTTGGTATGAGTTTTATTTAATAATAGTATTGTTATAGTATTTGTGTTAGATAGCAGTCTGAAGATTTATTTTGACAGTATCTGAATAGTTAAAATGGTTGTTAATTATAAATGTGTTTTATTGAACTTCTAAGCTAAAAATAATTTCATTTCACTTAAGGGTAGAATGTTAAAATATAGTTAAAAGAATCTCATAATCCCAAGTCTATGCTATGGGTGTATTTATTTATTGAAATATGTATATCAAATTTATTTGTACTAGTGTTTACCCAAAACAAATTTCCTGAACCCACAAAATGTACTCCTTTAAATACGTACTAAAATCTCTTCTTTAAAGCTTTTCTCAGTTTCATGGACTTATCACTCACTATAAAATTGGAGCTTTGTGTATGAATATCATTGATCATGAATTAAAAAGACATGAGCTTTGGCAAGAAGAACTTTCTAAGAAGAAGAAAGCTGATATCCTTTTAGAGTGGCATTTCACGCCACTGTTGTTGCGTGTTGCTATGAGCTTTGGGTAGATGGGAAGTTTTTTCTTTTTTCTTTTTTACCATTCACAATGTGTGAAAAATGCAAGAATGTTGATTAAGATTAAAACTGTCAGAATGAATATAGTTTGACATACACTTTTTATCTCTTTCCAACTTTGATTAGTCGATGAGATAAAGGGAGCAGAAAATAGTGGTCCTGGATACTGAACTGGTGAGTCTGTAAGCAGCCACACTTATGCCCCCTGAGGCCCTTCAGTTACCTGAAGCTTGGCTCCCCGCTGTTACTGCTGTAGTTCTTTTTCTGCAATACGTGATCTTGATTGGAATGGGTGCTGCTTTGGTGATGAACCTCGTTTTAAATTCTATTTCTCTAATTAAGCACAAAAATACTTTTCTTAGTACATACAAATTTGAGAAAAAACGGTAAAAATTATCTGTTTTAACCTATGTTTCAATACATGAATCTTTTCTGCAACTCTTCCTTACAAATGAATTATTTAGTCTCTTCTTTAACAATGTCACTGATTTATTGATTTAGCTCATGCTGTGATGTGGCATACTATTTATTATAATGTTCTTTGCTTAGTGTACTAAAGTCCACTTCCCAATAACTTCTATCTCTTGATTCTGACCTTGCATATATAGAATAGGGATATTTTCTTCAACATCACATTTCTTGTATTTGAAGCTATTTTTCATATTGCCTCTACAACTTAATTCTTCTAGATTAAGGTTCTGGTTAATTTGTCCTTATATAAATCACAACAAAATGGGTTCCTTTGCAGATCAACAAGCCATACTGGTAACTTTATTTTGAACCCTAAATTTATTGGTGTCTTTTAAAAAGTAAGTAGCAGCTCCAGAGTCACAATCAGTTAGTGTGTGGTACTTAAAAAAAATAAAAATATTATTCCTATTGTGCAGAATGTCATATATTTTTTGCCTCCCCTTCATGGAATCCCCAAGACACTATAAAAATGCACCCTTACACACACATAAGCTTTGATTCAACTGGGATCTTTTTTGGTTTAAATTGTGCGTATGTTATAAGCTTCTGACATTTAGATAGGTATTGCCTTAAACTATGTGGACAACTCAAAAATCTTAGAGATTTTAGATTATTTCTGGAGTCCTGAGTCTACTGAATGTACCCAAAATTCATTTAAACTGTAGGGGGTACAAAAAGGACCACTAATGGGACTTTGGCAACCACTAATTTATACATTGTGATTGTTTGGTGATAAGAACTGATATTTTAGGACATATCATATTCCTATAAGTACAGACACCATTGGTTGTAAGATGTACCATTATTTATGAACCACCAATGAAGGAAAAAATGCCTCCCATTCAACTATGGCACATGATGGATTATGACACAACCAAATTCTGGAAATGTTTCAATATGAGAAAATGTGTCTTAGGATCAATAGATTGCAGTAACTGAAGGAATATAAAATGACCTATCAGGCTCTAGCCAGTGTGGCTCAGTGGTTGGGGCATTGCCTGTAGACTGAATGGTCACAGGTTCAATTCCCAGTCAGAGTGCATGCCTGGGTTGTGGGTTCAGTCCTCTTTTGAGCACAAATGAGAGGCAACGGATTGATGCTTCTCTCTCACATCAACATTCCTTTCCCCCTCTAAAATCAATAAGAATGTCCTTGGGTGAGGATATAAAAAATAAATTTAAAAAACAACCTATCAGAATCCTGGTCATTTCTTCTAAAATACTGCTTTTTTTATTGCCTTAAGTTTCCTTGTGTTTTGTTGCAAATCGCATTCAGGAGCAGATTGTTTTTAAGTATTTGGGGATCTGAAGCCAGACTGAAGCCTCAGGTTATTTCTGCAGGTGTCCAGGGAATGGCTTGGAGCCACAATTAGAGGGTATTATGGGGTATTTTTTTGCTATCTGTTCTGAAAACGGTGTAAAAAGCTTTAAACCTAACCCATATCTCTTGACTATTCTGGGTGTCTGTGTGAAGTGGAATCCAGTATTTTTATTAACTAAATCATTCTCTAATGCAGTAATGTTTTTGGTACATGGACCCATTTGCTAACCTGCTGAAAGTTAGGGAGTAGTGTATATACAAAAAATATTTGCATAGGATTCCTGGGGTTCCAAGTCCTTGGGGAAGCCCAAACACATGTTCACCCAGGGGCTCCAAGCATGTGCTTTAGCCCTTAGCTAAGAGGTCCTGTTGTAATACGGTTAACACACTCATTGCACAGAGAATACCGGTCCAGTTAAACTATTGGTTAAAGGAAATGATTGGATAACGTTGCACATATACTTTGGTAGCACTGTCTTTCCTACTATTGTTTGTAGGGTTTCTTTGCTTCAGTGAGAATGGATGATCCTTAACTTGTTTACTTGATGAAGACCCTGAAAACCAAACCTTGAGGAAAGAGTATGAAAAAAGCTTTAAAAAATACCAGGGGCTTGTGGTAAAACAGGAACAGCTCTTACGAGGTATGAATTCTTAAACACTGAGAAAACAAACAAGTGCTTACTCTACATTTAGCTTGTTCCATTTTTTGTCAGATCAGTAAAGCTAATACCAAAATAATTGGGAGCTGTATACATATTAATGTGCTACAAGTTCTTTTGTCTTTAGCATGGGTAATAATGTTTTAAATTTTGCTCTCCTGTTTTCCACCAAAAGGCCCATTCAGTTTTTAAATGTATAGGTACTTGTTATTTATTTACTCAGAGATGATTTTTTAATCCATCGTGTGACCTTTTCCATAATAAGAATCTTGTGTCTCAAACCCTAATATACTTATATAGTGAATTATTTTCTTGTTTTCATAGAAGATGTACATTTTAAAAAAAAATATTCTCTTTAATAAAAAATAGTCTTCTTTGAGGTTTTTATTGAGAGATTTGTATGTTTACTCGTATGGTTTCTCATTCATAAGATGCAAAATCCGATGAAGATTAGTGAGACTGATCTGGGGCTTTCAAGTGTACATTCAGTTTCTGTTTCGTAGCTCCCTATTAATTTTTTCAGCTTTATTGAGATATAATTGACATATAACATTGTGTAAGTTTAAGGTATCAATGGGATGGTTTGATCCATGTATATATTACAAAATGTGTATCACAGCAAGGTTAGTTAACGTACCATTCACCTAAGGTAATTACTATCTGGTTATGGTGAGAACATTGAAGTTCTCTCATAGCAATATTCAACTGTACAATACAATATTATTAACTGTAGTCACCATGCTATACATTAGATCCCTGGAATTTATCCACCTTATAACTGAAAGTTTGTACCATTTGACCAGTGTCTCCCCATTTCCCCCACCACTTAGCCCTTGGAAACCACCAATCTACTCTCTGTTTCTGTGAATTCAACTATTTTAGATTGATTCCACATATAAGTGAGAATTTATGGTATTTGTCCTTCTCTGTCTCACTGCTTTCACCTACCATAATGCCCTCGTGGTCCATCTGTACTACCGCAAACCGAATATACTCTCTTTATAGATGAGTAATATGACACTCTGTGTGTGTGTGTGTGTGTGTGTGTGTGTGTGTGTGTGTGTGTGTATGTATGTAAATAACGGTTACCATAGGGAAAGAGGAGTGGGGAGAGGCAGTAAAGAGTAAAGGGGGTCAAATATACGGCAACAGAAGGATATTTGACTTTGGGTGATAAACACACAATGCAATATATAGATATATTACAGAATTGTACACTTGAAACCTATATAATTTTATTAACCAATGTCATCCCAATAAATTTAATAAAAAATAGAACATACAACAAAATGTTACATACAAACCCAAATATGCCAGTAATTACATTGCATGTAAGTGGACTAAATAAAATTTAGATGCTACTTTAAGGAAAAAATGGGTTACTATTTATCAATTAGTATAATGCCTGGCATACAGTAAGTACTTAGTGTGAATTGCCTTTCCATCTCAAATATTTGTTAAATAGGTTAAATTTAATATTTATGTACATTTAAATATATTTAATATTTTGCATATACTTCTTCTATCCATAAGGGTTTAGAGACAGTTTATAAGAATATACGAAATGAAATTCTAAAATAATGAATAAAATCATAAAAAAACCACAAAGTCATAGGAGAGCAAAAAGCTTATGTTGACCGTAATAGCCCACATAATTCTGACTGAAACCTTTCAAGTCTTAACTCCAAAGCTTTCTGTCAGTCAAGGCAAAATGGAAAACATTATCTGTTACATAATTCTCAATGTCAAAAAGAAACAATAATATGAGTTATAAGAATCTAATTTTTATTACAGGTCTCTAAAAGAAATTGTACTTAGAACTAGTAGAGAGAGACCTCAACTTTGTGTAGTGGAACAATTATAGTATTGCGTTTCATGTGGTTATATCCTGTAGTGACCATCAGAAAATCAGTTTGAAAATGGAAAATGTTTTAGTATTTATCCTCAGGCTTGGCTGTAACTGTACGTACATTTTGGATTATGGCTCTTTTTAACATCGCAGGTCCTAGTTATTGAAGTTTTACCTTGTTTTCTATATGTATAAAAATTATTTTTTCCCATTTGCTTGTTTTATTATTTCCTAACATATACTTTTAATTGCTATTTAATTATTATTAAGCTCTAAACTACAAGAGGGTAGGACTCATTCTTATAATGGTTATTGTGTCCTCACTATCGTAAGAATGTTATTTTATATGACATATCACTCAATAACAATAAATGTTTTCTAATGAATTAATAGCTAGTTAAAATTTTGTAAATAATATATTTTCTTCTAAAAACTGCATCTGTTACTTTGGTGAGTAGGAAAGACTTATTAAATTAATGATTCAATATGCCAGTCATTTAATTCTCACCTATTTTACCTCTCTAGTTGCTCTCTATTTGCTTCTGAATCTTGCTGAGGATACGCGTACAGAACTGAAGATGAGGAACAAGAACATCGTTCACATGCTGGTGAAGGCTCTTGACCGGGACAATTTTGAGCTGCTTATTCTAGTTGTGTCTTTCTTGAAGAAACTCAGCATTTTTATGGAGAATAAGAATGACATGGTAACTTACATTGAAACAGTCCCTATTTGCCATTTTCAAGTTAAAATATTTTGATTAAAAGTGAACACTTATCCCCATACTGAGGTAGTCTGAATGAAAATTTAACAATAGCAATATCCCCTTAAATAGTTTTTTAAGGAAATATATTTCATAGTACTTAATACTCCAGATAGTTGGAGTATTAAGATACTCCAGATAGAAGCTTATGGAAAAAGATAATCTTTTTCTGATATTATATGGAATGCATGTTTTTATATTAAACATAATATATAGAAAGTAATTTAAACTTAAGATTGTGCTTTAGAGTCCTCTGGCCTTATATTATTTTCCCCTAAAGTATTTTTTTCTTCTGCATTTGTGATATTTCTGTGTGGAATTTCAGTTTAGACTAGTCTGTTCTGTTTCACCTACCATTCCAAATGGTAGACACAAGCTGTTGATTCTTCTTAAGTGTCCCTTTTCTTTTTTCCAAGTGCCATTGTATCAGTTCATCCTCTTTCTCTATACCCTCCTCATATCTTGTTTGAATTCTTGCAGTGGGCTCCTATTTGCCATCTTACATGGTGTTGATGCTGTGGTCTTTCAGACATACAAGTTAATTGTATGTTATTTTTCCTTCTGAAAAAATATGCATAATACAGAAATATTAATATATAAAGAGAATTCTACCACTGAACCACCCTATAAATATTAATATATAAAGATAAAAATTACCTGCCTTTTCCATGTCATTAGTTTGTTAGAACAATGTTATATTAAATAGGTCAGACATTAACCTTACCTTGTTTTCAAATATTTAAGTTGTTTATAATTTCAGCTATTAAAAACAACACTTCAGTGTATACATTTGTACATGTATCTTTGCTTATATTTCTGATTATTTTCTTAGGATATAATCCTAGAAATGGAATTACTGGCTCATTGGCCTTAATTCCACTGAGGACCATTTTAGAGCTGTATGCTAATATGGTTGTGTCACTATGTATTGTTAGTATAAATGGATTCTCCTTCAAATAGTCTAAACATACAGCATTTCCTCCTACTCTTTTTTTTAAGTCAAATGAACTAGGAAGTAGCTTAGATGATGCAGTATGCTCTTTGAAAACCTAAGACTGACTTACCAGCTTGTAAGTGTGTTCAGTTCTGATACTTGAAATATATGAAATTTATTTTACCCACAGATGTTTAGTATCTGTTATCTTTATCATTAGTATATAATTATTGATGATCACTGTATGCTTGATATTGTTTTCAGAATTGAATTTATTTAAGAAAGATTAATCAAAAAATTTTTTAACTTATTGATCCTATATTTAAAAAATGATGACATGTTGATAGATTTACTCTTCAGTAATTAGAGTATGGCTAAATAGTTGCTTCCCTTGCTTTCAGTTGAAGTATAGTCCTTCATTTATGAATTAAGTTCACCTTTAGTTGTAGGTTCACAAAATATAAATTGATTTATCATCAGCACATGTCTACTATGTATTAATTAAATACATACTTAATACACTTCTTATATTCTTATATTCTGTTAAAATCATTTCAAGAATATTACTAATTATTTTCTGGTAGGATCACAGATTGAGAATACAAACCTCATATTTTATTAAGGAGGAAAAATGGAAGTTCAGTAAAGATAATTCATGAATAAGAATGATGAGCTGGATTTTTACTGCAGATGGCATGCATTTCATCTTTTATTATGGAAGAAATACATTTCATATAAGGGCATTGTATAGGAGTAGGACTTTTAGAGCTTGACCAGATCTTATATCTTTGTTTCGATTTAGTGAATTACCTCCTAATTTTACAGTTGGAGTAGCAGAGAGGGTCAGAGAGGTTAAGTAATTTGCTTAGAGAAAGATCTCCAGGTCTTATGCTTCCTACTCCTTTCTGCCTCCAGGGCAAAAAAAAATTTTGTCTTTATTTTATGTTGTTTTTTAAAAAAAAAAATTATTAGCAAGATTAAGTATAAGCAATTTTTAAATGGCTGTCAAACACTAAAAAGAATTACTTTAAGGCTGAACTAAGTTTACTGATAGATTGTTGATAAGCCAACACTTTGTATAAAACATTTAATGAAGTATTAACTGTATATTCATTTTATAGATATAGAATTGAAAGGGCATTGCATGTTGAGACAATTACTAAATTTAGCTTTTGGGACTGGGCTTTTATAAACCCAAAAGACACGGTTAGAAGGCTGTGTCTAGAGTTTAGCTATCTGAATGGACTACCTGGCAATTTTACATTCCATTCTCTGCAATGGAAATACAAATTAATTTTAAAAAACTCTCCAGGTTACTTTATGATTAAGTTTTCTATAACACCAGTGTCTACTTTTGCTTTTTCAAGAGAAAAATATTACTTAATATAATTAGTAACAGATGAAGCCTGTAGCAATTTTACTTAAAAAGGGTGGTGGGGAGGGATGGCTGATCTATTTGTGAGGTTGTATTATTCATGTAAATAGTGTGCTTATTTTAGTGTTGATGTGAGCTAATACCTTGCTTTTTCGAGTTACATATTTTAAAGGAAATTTAGTTTACTTAAAAAATCTTTTAATTAGTAATTTATATTGTATTTTATATTTCTTGATTTTAATACAATAAAACAAAATGGTAATAAATCATATTAGATTATGATTTAAAGAGTAACAATAGCAAGAGTACATAATCCTTGGGTTGCTTATTTTCTTATTAAATTTTGAGAGTTCTTTTTATATTTTGAATAGGTCCTTTATCAGTTACATGTTTCTCAGATATTTTCTCCTTTTCTGTGGCTTATCTTTTCATTCTCCTATGAAGAGCAGGAGGTTTTAATTGTTATGAAGTCCAAAATGTCAAAGGATTTTTTTTAATGGGTTGTATTTTGGTGTTGTATTTAAGAAATATTTGCCTAACTTAGGTCATAAAGATTTTTTCCTATGTTCTCTTCAATAAGTGTTTTACGATTTGTGTTGTTGCTGTTTTATTTTAGTCTGTGATCCATCCATTTTAGTTAATTTTATATATGCTACAAGGTATGAATTAAGATTCCTGTCTTGAAATGGATGTCCAATTGTTACCATTTATTGAAAAGGCTGTTCTCTCTCCACTGAATTGCCTTTACACCAGTTTGAAATTACCTTTGTACCTTTGCTGAAAATCAATTGGCTATATGTGTGCGGTTCTATTTTTGGTCTCTTTCTCTCCTATTCCATTGATCCATGTGTCTGTACTTTCACCAGTGTATCTTTGTCTTGATTACTGTAGCTTTTTCAAAAAAGATTTTTTTTTTTATTTTTAGGGGGGGAAGGGAGGGATAAGGAGAGGGGGAGAAGCATCAACATGGGAGGGAAACATCTGTCGGTTGCCTCTAGCATGTGCTCTGACTGGGGACCAAACCCACAACCCAGGCATGTGCTCTGATGGGGAATTGAACTGGCCCCGTTCTGGTTTGCAGGACAACGCCAGCCAACTGAGCCACACCAGTCAGAGCTTGATTACTATAACTTTATAGTAAGTTTTGAAATCAATTTGTATAAGGCCTCAAATGTTAATTCTGGCTATTTCAGTTTCTTTATTTTTCCATACCCATTTAGAACCAACCAGTCTATATTTCTTAAAAAAACCAGACCAAACCTGGAATCTTGATTGGGATTACATTGAATCTATTGGCAGTATTCATTATATGAACCATATTGGATTTTCCAATCAATGAACATGATATAGCTCTGTATTTGTTTAGGTCTTTCTTGATTTATTCCATTATTTCAGTTTTTAGCATAATACTTTACACATATTTTGTTAGACTTATGCTTAAATATTTTACCATTATAAATTGTAGTTTTTATAAAAGAAATTATTAGTTTCCCATTATTGATTTTTTTTATTGAAGTGTAATTAATGTATACTATCCTATTACTTTTGGGTGTACATCGTTTCTACGATGTATATAATTCAGTATTTATATACATTAGAACATGGTCACTACATTAAGTCTAGTAACCATCTGTTGTGATTGATAGTATATAAAAATAGTTGATTTTTGTATATTGACCCTGTGCCCTATGATCTTGCTAAATTCACTTTTTAGTTACAGTGGCTCATTGTAGGTTCTTGGGGGATTTTCCAAATGCTGGAGAGGGGTCTCTTGTGTGATGTTAAAAAGGAATTCCGTGGGTGGGCTTTCCTGCCTTGTTACTGATCTTAGGAGGAAAGCGATGTCTTTTACTACTAAGAGTAATGTTATCTAGGTTTTTTGTAGATACTTCATCTGTTTAAGTTCTGTTCTGTTTCTAGTTTGTTGATACTTATTATGAATGGATGTTGAATTTTGTCAAATGCCTTTTCTGTGTTGACTGGGATGGCCCTATGGTTTTTCTTTACATTGTTGATATAGGGAATTGCATTGATTGACTTTTGCATGCTGGGTCAGTCACATTCAGGAAATAAACATCACTTAATCATCATATATTGTGTTTTTATACATTGCTGCATTTGATTAGGTAACATATTGTGGAGCATATTTGTATCTATGTTAATGAGGGATTACTACTTTATAGTTTTCTAATAAGTCTTCATAAACCTTTTGGTAATAATCAAAAATTATATAGTTATATGGAATTTCCCTTTTAGCCATTGCATTGTAACAAAGATACAAGATTTCTTTATAACACAATTTTTCTGATTGCTACCATAAGAAATATGAATACAGGGCTTGTACTACCAAATAAATTCTGTCCTCAGTGATTCACACTCTAAGACAAGCTCTCTTAAAGCAATTTTACAGTCTTCTGGAGTTGGGGGAGGCTAGCAAGTTGCTGAACCTAATGGGCATCTTCGGGACCCTCAATCTGAAAGTCCTCTTCAGGGTGGAATTCCTTTTCACGTCTCATTCATAGGATTTGACTGTATCCCTTCAGCACCCCTGAAATTATTCTCCCCTCTTCAGTCTTTACACTCTTTCTTTGATTCAAACCCTAATTCCAATGCAATATATTCTTCAAGCTCTTGTTCAATTTGTATGCTCTTTTTTTAGACTGGAATACTTGATGGCCAAGATAAGTTCTAGTTTGCCGTAGTTCAGTCTCTACCTATGCAGTGCCCACTGTGTGTTTGTCAGTGCCTTTCTGTGTGTGTTATGTATGTACATATGTATGTATGTGCTGATACACTTGTCCTTTGGTTACTACCCTGACTGTATCACCCTCTCAATTTACAAATCATTCTAGGTACTCTATTGCCTGTAGAATAATGTCATACATCTTTGTAGATCATTAAAAGCTCATTGTGATCTGTCCAGCATCTGGCCTTGTGGACGTCTGCCACTCCCTGACACGTACTTCATCCTGTGGCCACACCAAAGTATGGCAGTCGCCAAACAAGCTCTTTTATCCCCAAGTGCCTGCCCACTGGCTGTTTCTCCTTTCTTAGCCAATGAGCAAATTATCACGCATTTTAAAGAACTTTGATTCTAATTTGAAGTCTTTTCTATTCTTCCACGTAGCTTAATGTTTCCTTCCATGTTGCTTCCAGGTAGCTTAGTGTTTCTGTCTGTGTTAAAAAGGGAAAAAACACATTCTATTTTTATTGCATTGTATTATTTGTTCAATTTGTATGCTTTTTTTTTAGACTGGAATCCTTGAAGGCCAAGATAAGTTCTAGTTTGCCGTAGTCCAGACCTGGCACTTAGTAGGTGGTGCTCAATGTGTTTTCAAGAACCCAGTATTATTTGTCTTCCAGTTGATGCTATTCTGTGAAGGAATGAAGGGATGAGAGGGGAATATATATTTTCTCCTCAAAAGCTTATAGATTAAAATAACTGTATAGGTTAACACATAATTACTTAGGGTACAATGAAAAAATAATTATTTGTAATCTATTTGTCTTTGTGTGCAATGGAACCTCACTGCACTTGTATTGTTATTTTACATAGGTAGAAATGGATATTGTTGAAAAACTGGTAAAAATGGTGCCTTGTGAGCATGAAGATCTGCTGAATATCACACTCCGGCTTTTACTAAACCTGTCCTTTGACACAGGACTGAGGAATAAGATGGTACAAGTTGGACTGCTTCCCAAACTCACTGCACTCCTAGGTATGCTTTTTAAAAATTAATGATAGTGTTGCTTAGAATTTTCAACATCTTTAGAAAATTGAGCTGTGTGTTGAAAGTCAGGTGAACAAAAATTACTCTGTATTTGTTCTTTAATTGGAAACCCAAAAATAACAGAATGGATGAAAAATTGGCATGTGCCAGGATTCCCATGGGGCTGTAGAACACACTGGATGAAAAGCCATTAGCTCCGACTTCATTCACCCATGCGGAAGGGAAACCAGACTGCGTCTGTGAGTTACCAGGCAAGCAAGAAGGGAAAATCATTTTCTCTACCTCAATTTTTAAAAATCACATAGCATTTAAGTTCTTATATGTTGCCTTACTTTTAAAATACTTATGACAACTACACAAATTTGGTGAGCCTTTTTGTCATGAAGTAAAAAAGGGCATTTTTATATAGCATGAGTTAGAAAATAGAGTTGGAGAATTTGACTTATAATTAATTTCTCTTAGTTGTTAGCAAGATATCTATATAGCAAGGATGGATTCAAGTGCTAATTTTCTGTGCTGCCGCAAATTGCGTCTTAGCTGAGTATCATACACCCTTGGTCTGCTCGTTGTCTGTCCCTGTAGGCACCTGCCCCTCCCCACCACATGCTTTGGTTTATACCATGTCCATGCAGAACCCCTCCCAGTTCCCTAAACAGGTTCTTTTTATGCCCATGTGCCTGTTCATCATTTTTTCCTTCTACAGGAATGCCACTGTCTTCACTAACCAGAAAGCAAATTCTTACTTATTTTTAAAGACTATTTGTTTCAGTACTGCAATTTCGTTCTTGTTTTATAGTATTTTCCATATAGTCAAATATTTTGTAATAGTTTCCAATAATATTGGGATAGTAGTGGAATGACTTAAAAGGTAAGTTTATTCTTTGCTATCTAGTATCTATGAATCCAGTCTCTCATTGACATCATCATTATTTTCTTTGTAATACTAGAATCAACATTTATTAAACGTTTACTGTGCCAGTTGGCTCTGTGCTTTAATTATATTATCTCATGGAATCCCCATCTGAGATCTGTACTCAGGATTACACAGCTGATAAAAAGCAGAGCTCAAATTCAAACTTGGGGCTGTCTGCTACCTAAGTTGGATGTATTAACTGCTCTAGTAAACTACTGTGTATATTTAGAGTAAGTGGGCTGTGGGTAAGTAGACTAGGCGGAACCATAATAAAAAATCCAGTTCTCCAAGTTCCCTTAAAAATAAGTTTTATCTTATTTCTTTCTCTTTTCTCAGAATAGAAAAACTTCTAGTCTATTAGTCAGTCCAAGGAGATTTGATTAATTGGCCAATCCACAAATATTGCACAGGATTTTTATTACACATTTTAGAAGAAACTGTTGAGGAGTAATTTCAAAAATTGTTTTGGGGGAACCAAAACAATACAAACATTTTGTGAAGAAACAGAAAAACTTTGAAAGTAAAATTGATGGTCCATTTATTATAAATCTACCAGAATTATATATGAAATATTAGGTCAGATTCTCAGTGTATGAAGATGAAAAAATTATAGTCCTTGTCCTGAAGGAATGCATAGTCTATTTGGTTCAGCATCCAGTCATCTACTTTTGTGAAATAGGATTTAAAAGAGATTTTTGGGGAATTACAGGATACTCACTTCATAGTTTGTTAAGAGATATCCCTCTATTTTGTTGCTCAGAAGCATTGAATTTTAACTCTAAGCAGTTTCTTTTTTCCCCAAATATTCATATGTCTTTTGCTTAATAACTTTCTATAGTTCTTCCTTTTCATTCCATTTACAAACCATAGAAGCAATGGCAATCATACATAGTAAATAGAGAGAGTATCAGCTTATACTCCAGGATCAAGGAAAGGGAGAAAATGTCCACACTGAAGACAAATCAATATCCACTAGAAAACAGTGCCTTCAGTGTCTGTGAAGTATTTCAAAATGTCTACAAGTTTACATCTATCACTTATTTCACATTCTTTTAATTTAATTATTTTAATGTCACTATTATTTTCTACTCTTTTTTCATTTAAGTATGGGTTTTAATAAGCTTCTGTAGGCTCTTTATAAGGTGAGACTATGAGTAGATAACATGTTTCAAATTCAAAATAACTGATTGAGTATGAACTTTTGGAACATAACCGTGTTGTAAACTTTATTTTATCATGTCCCCAAAATGACCCTTTTATCCATCACTTCCTAGGAAGAACCTATCTAATAAATGTATCAGGAGAACAAGGCTATGATTATTAATAAACAACCTTAAGATCTCAGTAGCTTAAAAAACAACAATGGTTTATTTCATGCTCATACTATATGTCCCTTACGGGTGAGTAGGACGTGCTGGCCCTTGTAAGCATCAGTCAAGGACACATACTGGTAGAGCAAGAACATGGAAAATTGCAAACTTCTCATAAAGACTTCCACTTGAAGTGATAAAAAAGATAAATATTATTTTTATTTACATTTCTGGTGGTGGAAACAAGTCACGTGGCCATGCTGTACTTTAAGGGGGTGGGTAAATGCTTGGAAGGATTAGAACTGGAACATCAGTGAGCAAGCGGCCTAGTGATCCTGAAAGGTGTTTTTCAGCTTTTCTGAATTTTAGCTGGGTTTCAGGATTAATAGAATCTATTAAGAAGTACACCCTGAAACACTGTAGCAAACATTACCACCTGTACTATACCTAGCAGCTGTCATAGCATGGAGCACATTGATTAAAAGCTAGAACTATATGATTGTATGACTGAATATTGACTTCATCAGTTACTAGCTCTGTGATATTATACAAATTACTTAACCCATATATCAGTTTTCTCATCTCCAGTATGTAGGTAATAATTGTACATATTAATAGGAAAGTGTTAAATGAGATAATGCAGTAAATGTTAGGGAATTATATATGTGAAATTATTATAAAAATGCATAGAATATAAACAATAAATATCTAGAAATGGGACTTTTTTTTAAGTTTTCCAGGCTTATACTATTAGGGGTATTTAACCATTTTGTATGCAGGTCTTTTAAAATCGATTACATCCTTCTTTTGTTAAATATATTCCTAAATTTACCTTAATGACATGAACATAATTTAAATTTTTATTGAAAAGCAGTATAGTATAGTAGTTAAAGTCACAGGATCTGGAGCCAGAGGGCCTGGATTCAAGTGCTCTATGACTATTAGGTGTTACTGCTTTTGTTATTATTGATTCAAGTTTGCAATTCTGAAGATAATTTATTATACAAGACTTCAGATATTACTGTACTCAGATATTTGCCCTTGCTAAATGGCCCCTGAATGGCATGCATTTTTAATGTTTATGTGCAGTTTTCCTGTGTCCCATCTTTTCCTTGGCTGTCACTTCTCATTTCTTCTTCACCAGCAGCAATTCCATAGCAGCAATTTTCCTCTCCTCTAATGATATATTTCTAATCTCCTGTGGTCTTGGAAACCGACAGCTGAACTTATTTGAAGTGTATATTTTGTTAAAAATGAATTCCAAATGAATGCCCGAAGGGTTCTCTTCCTAGTAATGTTTGTTGCATGGGCTTTGCCATGTTTCTTGTGACTGTGAAGAAACATTTTGCTTGATTGTGCTGTCTGCTCTGTTCAAAGAAATGTTACTCAATGTATAAATGATTTCCTGATAAGTATATTAGGATGGTCATTTTTACATTTGTTAGTGTAAATGTTACTTGTGTGGAAAATTAAATCATTAACTCCTAACACAATAAACTAAACTTCTTAGTTGAGCAATGATATATTTAGTAGCTCTGATCTTGGCCATTACATTTATATAGAAGCTGTAGTAAGGAAGCATTTTAGAGAACATATTTTAAAGGGATAGGAAGTAATTCATCTAGAGCAGAGACTTTCAAGCATCTTTAACCCAAACTATAGTAAGATACATTTTACATTACAACCCAATACTCACACATGTGTGTGATAAGTATATGTATGTGCATATATCCATGTGTATATGTATACATATATATACACTATTTTATTTATGATATATTACATGTTTAATATATGTAATTTTTAAAATGTTCACAAACAAGTATTTACCATCCCTATGTGTAATGCACTGTATTTTCTATTTTTTAATTTTACTTATGACTTACTGATTTTATGTTCTGATTGTGATGTTCAGTTGAAAAATGAACTCAGGGAGTGATTAGACTTCTTTCTCTTCAGATCTTCAGAAATATCACTGTCTCTGCTGGACTTTTAATGTGTTGAACAGTTGATAATCTAAATTATTCTAGGTTATTCTTTGGCAGAGACTTGGAGTTATTGCATGGGAATGAATTTTTTTTGAAATGGGTAGAAAACCTTCTATAAATCAAATATGTAAAGAATTTGGAGCAGGATGACTGTTAATGGGGGGTGAGGTTAGAGGATGGAGGGACTGAGCAAAAAGGAAAAAGGACTCGGATACGGACAACAGTGTGGTGATTGCTGCAGAGAGGGGGGTATAAGGGTACTAAATGGTAATTGAAAAATACAGTAAAGATTAAATTTAAAAATTTAAAAAAATTAAAATATAAAGAAAATGTGGGCTGCATTTTCTTCACTGTAGTCATGGAGAAGGAGTTAAAGAGCATACAGTAGTAGAACATAGTGGTCAGTTTGCTTTTTTCATTAGAAATAAATTCATTGTTTAGTATGTGTTCAAGCTGACAGATGACTGAATTAAGTACTCATTTTATATATAGAAATTACTTATTTTTTAAAAATGCAAAAACATACATAAGCACTTCTGTAGGACTATACATGTGGTAGAACTTTTCAGACATGATTTTTAAGGGATGCTGTTTCAACTGGAAATGCTATCAGATTTTAAGTAGTTTTCTTTATTATTATTTCGAGACCCCATAACAAAAATCTTTTTTATACTTAATAATAGATTATTTTAACCAGAGTACAATGAATCTTTCAGATTCCAATAAAGCTGTGCTATGTGAACATTTAATCTTCTCTTGTATCCTGTAACATTTAAC